AAAAAAAAAAAACCCAGTTGAAGTTGAATCAAATCAAATTGAGCTAGGAGTTGACAAGAGAATATAATTGAAGGTAGTTTGGGAATTGGTTTGAATGAAGAGATGCTTAGGTGCTTTGGTTTTAGGTATATATATATGGATGGGAAGTAGAGAGAGAAATTCAAAGGTAGAAAGTCAAAACACGGAAAATGTAAGCAAAATTAAAGTGCAAGGAGATAGGTATGACTCTTCCAAAGGATTGAAAGGCTCCAGGCGCAGAAAAAATTGTTGGCAGAACTTTGTATAAAGCCTCTAAACTTTTTTTATTTTCTCACATAAACCCTCAAGAAAAAGGAGGAGCAAACAAACTCCTTAACGCCTTGATCCTAGCAAATTAACCTTATATTAACAGTGACAATCGCTGTTCAAAAAAAAAAAAAACAGTGACAATCATTTATTATCAAATGACTTAAATGATTGCCTGTTTTTTTACGATAATCTTTTTACATTTAAGCACTAATATGTTAAAGGAATATAATATAACAAATGTGACTATTACGATTAATATCCAATTTAATTTGCTAAGATAAATCCGTTTAATGGTTTGTATGTCATTTTATTTTAGGGGGTTTATGTGTGAAAATGAAAAAATTCAAAAGCTTTAACACTGAGTTTTGTCAAAATCGTTCGATTTATTTGAGCCTATGCTATAATTGTGAATAGTATAAATAAATAAATAAATAAATAAATAAGAAAGGGAAATGACGTGTGAACTCTTTCATTGACCTCGTGCCTTCTTAAGGCACACTGATCGGACGCAGTGTTAGCCGACAGATTCCAATGGAGACAGCGGTGACTTTCTCGGCTGCTACCGCCGTAACACTCCCGTATGTTTTTACTTGGCCTTTGCGATGCATGTTTTGCCTAGATCCTTTTAACCGTCTAATTTTGATTAGAATAATGATTAGGGAACGAAAATTTGGAATTAATAGCTTAATTTATATTATATTATTAAATTAAATGATACATATAATATTTTAAAATAAAAAATTAATTATTAAATAATATATAATTTATTTAACATTTTAAATAATATAACTTATATTACATTATTAATCTTAAATTTTAATTTTAAATTTTGAGTTTATTTATCATTATTTTTTAATTTTATTATAACTAAATGGATTTCTGTTTCTTAAGGGTTTAGTTAATAATTAAATTATTTTACAATAATTAATTTAAAAGATAAATTGAGTTTTAATTAAATAAAATAATATACTTTAAAATTAAAACTTTAATTTTTTTAAGTTGAGGTTGATATGTATTTTATTTTTTTATTTTAAAATTAATTAAATATATATAATTTATTTATTTATTATAAAAATTTATTATTATTAAATTTATATTAAAAATTATAAATTTTTTAATCAAATAATTATAAATGTTAATTTAATTTAAAAATTAATATATATAATTTATATTGATAAAATATTAAATCTAATGATTAGTCTTCAAAGATATTTATTAAAAAATAAGATTTTTAAAGATAAAACATAAAATTTTTAAGAATTAAGATTGATATATAATTTTTTAAAATAATTATAAAAAATATAAATCGATAAAAAACTATAACGAATTTAGAATCTTATCCTATTTTATGGTACTTGATAACAAACGTATGCATAGAAGCTTGTCTCTCTTATCCGCGTTTTCCTGTCAAGGCTTCTTTGCGTGGATAACGTCACGTGTGAGGGAAGAGTTGGATGCCTCCAGAGCCCGGCTTGCCGGTCAAGCCAAGCCAGCCAGAAAGTATTTATTAATAGATAAATAATACCCTTCGGTTTTGCTAATGATATAATCAATTCAAAAAGTATTTTAAAAATAAAAAAATTATGAGTTTAAGTTATATAATATATAAATGAACTAAATTAAACAATAAAAAATAATTAATTTTTATTGTGTAACTTAAATAAAAAAAAAATCCTTCAGTTTCCTTTTTTATTTTGTTTTGAGCTGTTAACACTTAGTAAGTTAAAATAGTTCACACAATTAGAAAAGAAAAGGAAAATAGGGAAAAAAAAATAAAGGTAGTTGTAATTAAGTACTACAAAAAATTATTTAGAAACTCATTTTTCTTTTTTAGTGCATAATAATTGCAATAAATAATAATTAGCTTATTACAAAAATAGTAATAATTAGAAATTTAGTATTAATTTGAGTATTTTTATTTAATTATCTTACTTTTTATTTATAATATATGGGGATGTCAGCATATTATTTCAATTTTATCTTTATTATTATTATACTCCATCTATTTTAAAATAATTGTTATATCTTGATCTTGAATTTATATTAAATTAATAGTAATTTTTTTATTTTTAAGGTAAATAAATATTTTTTTCTTACTTTAATCCTATCATTATCTATTTATTTTAATTAATCATCTAATCACAAAAAACTTTTTTTTTATTTCTTTTCTAAGGGTATTATAGATAAATACAAATATTGTTTCTCAATTCTTTTTTTAAAAAAGTCAAAAAATAATTATTTTAAGAGAAAAAAATAGCACATTTATAAAGATGATAAAATTTTTATTTAGGATAAATGTATTATTTTAACACTTAATTATTGAAGTTTTGATAAATAATGATATACACAATATGTAATATTTTGCTTTTTAGACTATAGAATGAATGAAATATAATAACCTTTCTTATAAGAATAATGTACAAATACAACGTCACGTTATATTGTGCATTATGTATTATATATTTATTTGGAAAATTGATTGTGTTTGTGGGATAAATAGGAGACAATATGTTGTGAAATGTGATGGCTGTACATGTACAATGTTAAAGTATTTCTTATAATATCAATAATAAAATTTTTTGTTGTTTAAGAAAAAATAACTTGTTATTAATTCAATGAATATATATATATATATATAATATTACAATTAAAGCCTTAATTAAAAAAATAGTTATACGTGTTACGTTAATTGCAATGTCCCATTACGCCTGAAATAATGTTGTCGTGTTGTGCGAAGCTTTTACATACATTTATTGGAAGTGATAGACTTTCATTCAAATTGACCTTAGAGGGAGAATTAGGAGAATACATAGCCTATTATTGGATGTGGTAAAAAAAAAAAAAAAGAAAGAAAAGAAAACTACTTTATCCCTAAAGGAAAAGGAAAGGTGAAAATAAGGTAAAGTATTAGTAATTTATCTAAAATTATTTTAATATTTGTAATAAATTTTTTAGTTTATGGATTTATTAAAAGTATTTTAATTTTTTTATTATCAGTTATGATATTTTAATTATCAAGATATCTTAATTTTTTTCAATCTCATTCTAAAGTAATACTCCCTTTGGTATGTTTTAATTGTCTTAATCTATTATCTTTGTGTAAATTAACTTGATGATTTTATACAATAAATAAATAAATAAAAATTAAAATTTTTTTAATCTACATAAAAATATCCAATAAAACTATATATAGAAAGGAAAAAAAATTTCAATTATCAATTATTTATTATATAAATTTATCTGATCAAATTTTATTTAAAAATCAAATTAAAATAACTAAATCTGACTAAAAGAAATAGTTACTTAGTATTTTTTGACTTCTATATAATAAGAATTTATATGCAATTTATGTTTTTAGTTATATCAATACTTTATTATAAGTTAAACCACAGAAATAATCACTCACCTTTATTATAACATTCAATTTAGTAATTATCCTTCTAAATTTGAAATGTTAGTCACTAACCTTTTCTTTTAACATGATGCTGGTTCATCGCCCTCCCTTATCTCTTGCAAATTCTATTAAGTGGTGACATGGATGATGATGTGGACATTAGTGAAACAAAATTACAATCTTGCTACAAAAAGTCAACAATAGCAAAAAAACAATTTCAGCAAGCACACCATATGATCCTCACATCCTTAAAAATTAATAAATGAATCAATTTTTAATTATTGTACAACAAAATAGTACATAGCACACTAATATAAAAATCCTTCTTTAATTTTCTATATATTTTCATGGTTAAATGTATAAATTACTTCTCAAAATTGTTGCATTGAAGTAAATCATCAAAAAAAATATTAATGTAATTTTTTTACCTAAATTTTTATTTTTAAGAAATCAAATTAAATTTAACGGTTGCTGTTACATTTTGTTAATGTATTGCTTTTGAAGTTTAATAAAAAGTTAATAGTTATTATTAAATTTTAGTCGATTTTTTAAAAATAAAAATTTAAAGTGATAAATTGCATCAATATATATATTTTTTGTGATGATTTACTTCAATACAACAATTTTAGAGGGAATTTGCACCCTTTTTTCTATTTTAATTTTTTTTTTTAAAGTATTAAGAAGGTATAGGGGTACCTCCACCAATTAAAAAAAATATTAGAACCAGTCCAATTATATAAATCTAACAATAAATTTTTTTTCCATATTTAATTTTTAACCGCTTTTCTCTCTTTCTTTTCATAACTAATCTTCAAATAGTTTGATTTTTAAATAGTTTGATTTTTAGTTCTGTGTGGTTATCACATTCTAAAAAATCAAAATATTTTAATTACTGCTATAAGTATGTTTTTTTTTTCCTTGTCACCTATTGACTTTTATTTTTTTGAGCTAAATTGTAACTTTGTTTCATTAAATACCATGTCATCATACCACACGATCATCTATATCATCATTTAATGGAATTTGTAAGAGATAACATAGGTGATGAACGGCAGAATATTAAAAGAAAGGTCAATGACTAAATTTATAAGTTTAGAGGGACTAATTAAATTGAAAGTTTTTTTTTTTTTTTTTTTTGTGAGTGACCATTGGCATAATTTACTCTTTATTCTATATTAAATTACGTTTTCCTTTGATATATTAAAGTACTTT